GGGGGGGGGCACTAAAACCCAGCCTGCGTGTCTCAGTGCCAAACTGTGCCTCTGTGGACAAGGGGAATTTTTTTCTAATTGGCACCAGGTGACTTGTGGGCTAACGACAATCTTGGGGCACTGAGGAAGAAATGGCCCTGGTTTGCTTACTGAAGGGAGAGTCAGGGACTGGTGGGGGGGAGGGGGGTTGGGGGGGGAGGCCAGGGCTCAATCCTGCCATAAGCCCTGGGCCCAGTTCAGGTTTCCCTAAATCCGACTTTGGACAACACAGGCTGGAGCAGGCATGCTGGGGGCGGCTGAGGATCAGGGTTGCCAGGAGCATCGAGCCCTCCTGGTGCAGTGGGTGTTAGGAGAGATTAGAGGGGCCAAGGGCTGCATATGCTGGGCGCTGGACACCCCCGCAGCAGCAGCATCACTCAGGGTGATGGAGCAGAAGGGAGGCAGATGGATGACCATTTTCTGAGCCGCCCAATGCCACTGGGGTTTGGCAGCTGGGGACAGATTGGGTGGTCCCATGCCTGCCGACCCCAAGCAGGAGCTGGAGATGCTGCCCAGGAGCTGGAAGAGCCTGCAGGCTGATAAGGATCTGAGTAACGAGAAACTGACCCTCACTAGGAATCCCTGGGTGCCAGACATAGTGCAGCCTCCATTGCCCAAGCTCTTCAGAGTCCCCAGCCCTTCCTAGGAGATGGATGCTAAGGAAGCCCTGGGAAGCCAAGGTGGGGCAGGGCTCAGCCACAGGACCACTGCTCCACCACAACATGGAGCTGGGATTGGTCCCAGGCCTGTTTCCCTGGGAAACTCTTTGTCCCCTCACTGGACCTAGGCTGCAGGGGCTGAGCGCAAACAGTCCACACAGGGCCAGACCCCTACCCCACCCTCCCATCAGCAATCATGTTTCATACACATCTGCTGGGTTGTCCCCATTCTTACATAAGGTGGACGTCTTGTGTACGAGCAATTTTTAATTTCTAGGAATGGCCTTGTCTTACAGATCTCATTTTACTGTTAACATTTTTTTCTATTCTTTTTTTTTTCTCTTCACACTTTAAAAGCTCTATTCATTTGCTCAGTGGCATATCTTCTCCATTTCTTCTGTCTTGCACAGGACACAAGGGGCCCTAGTGGCGTAGTGGTTACACATGGGGCTGCTGACTACAAGATCAGTGGTTTGGAACCATCCGCTGCTCCATGGGAGAAAGAGGAGACTTTCTGTTCCTGTAAAGAGTGACAGTCTCAGACACCCACAGGGGCAGTTCTCCCCTGTCCCTAGGGTCGCCATGAGTCAGAACAGACTCGATGGCAGTGTGTTTGCTTTGCACTGCACAGGGCACTCTGGGGTGCAGTCCCCACATGGCCAGCAGGCTACTCCCCTGAGAGGACGTCCTTGGTACGGGGCCTTTATTTGTTCGCCTGCTTCGTATCACTGCCTTAAGACAGTCCTCGCAATGAGATACATACTCCTGTGACAAAACATGCACCGTGTCAACTATTTGTATGCTGGGGCCAGATCCATTCACTGTGCTGTATAGCCATCACCTGTCCATTCCCAATGCTTTCCAATCACCCCATGCAGATACTCAGTACCCCTTAAGCACCAGCTCCCCATTTCCCCCTCCTACCCTGGTAACCCTGGTAACAGACTTTGGTCTGCCCCTTTGCCTGTCCTCCTATGTTGCTGTCACACAGATAGCTCCCCAATGCTTTTCCTCAGTCTGTGGGGTGTCTCTTCACTTTGGTGATAGGGAGCATCTTCACGAGTCACAGGAGAGTCCAAAGGGGCGCCTGCTGCTCTTTACATGGGGCCACCGGTCCACATGGCTCATAGAAGGCACCAGCGGGGCGGTCTTTACATTCACAGTGCGCCACTCTGCTCATGGGTGTGATGAGGCTGATGGTCATGTGCTCCGATGCGGTGACAGTGATGACCACCGCAGGTTCTTGATGCTTGGGTGATGCCAACAGGCTGGTTTTGACCATGGATTTTGGATGGCATTGCTGGTGGCAGCCATGCTGTTGACAATGGTGGTAAAGAGAGTGAGAGTCGTCATGATGACAACTGACATGAGCCTTATTGTGTCTCAGTCATTGTTCGTCTAAATGCTTTCCAAGCATCAACTCCCTAAATCCTCCTCCTGACAGTCATGTGAATGTCACAACTATCACCCCTTTCACAGATGAGGAGACTGAGAGGTCAAGTAGCACATCCAAGGAGACCCTAGTAGGGCTGGTGATGGTTATGCTTGTTGGTGGCGGTGGTGGTCACGGCATAATCGCTGTGATGGCATCAGTGGCAATGATGATGGGGTCCGGGATGACTGTGGTTTGGTTGTTGATGGAGACAGCGGCCATCCTGGTTGTGAAAGCACACAGACACAGGGATCCCAGCATTGGTAACGGATAACGGTGGCAGTGTGCATTAACTTTGGTGGATGACAATGGTGACCGGGAGATGGTGCTTGCGTTGTTGATGGTAGCAGTGCCCACGGGGAGGTCAGTGAGGTCAGAGATTGTGCTGACCCAACCCCGATGATGACAGGATGGTGACAGCACTCCTCCCTTTGCAGATGTGAAGTTCCTGAATAACCACAGCCTGGTGAAGGATGCTCAGGAAAAGGCCAATACTGCCCTGCTTGATTACACGCTGTGCCACTACCCCCACTGCGGGGACAAGTTCCAGCAGCTGCTGCTGTGCCTGGTGGAGGTGCGGTCACTGAGCATGCAGGCCAAGGAGTACCTGTACCACAAGCACCTGAGCAACGAAATGCCCCGAAACAATCTGCTCATTGAGATGCTCCAAGCTAAGCAGACTTGAGCCTGGGCCAGGCGGGGCAGGGCTTGGGGCCGTGGGTGGGGCCAGAGCCAGCCCTTTGCCCTCCCAGGTGGTTTATTTTATTATACTAACCCAAGAGTCCCACCCTGTAGGATCCCTGAGCTCTCTGTGTGTTTGGGCAGGTGGGGGGAGGATGGGTAAGGCCTAGTGGAGGTGGGGTGGGCCCCCCTTAGCCACTGGCACTTACCTACCACTCAGAGTGCCCCAAGGAGGCAGCTGTCAGCCATCCCTACCATCCCCCTGCCGAAGCTGTCTGGCCTGGAGACTAAAGCTCAGGTCTGGAGAGGAGGTTTGGGATTCCTTGGTGGGCCTTAATGTCTTTTGGGTCAGAAGTCATCCCTCCCCCCTCTCCTGAAAGCAGAGGCAATTAGGGAGAGGCTGGGGGGGGGGCATCAACTGGGGGCAAAGAGAGGGTCTTAGAACCCCCTTTAGAGCGCAGGAGGGAAGCCCTCTCCCTTGAAAACTAGGGGTAGCTCAGTTTGCTAAATTGGGCAGGGTTCTGTTTGGACCCCAAGGTTTCTGGGAGACTGGTTAGGACCAAAAGACGCCCCCTCCCTAGCCCTTTCCACTCAATCTGATTTCTGTAGGGGAGAACTTTTGACACACCATTTGAAAAACATTTGCTATAATCATCTTTCTATCCTTCTTCTACCTGAGACATTTGGCACGATCAGTATCATCGCCCCCGTCCCCTCCTCACCACCCACCGGCCAGCCCAGGGTGGTGTTTACCTGCAAGGCTGTAGTCGAGAAGTTTGTTGTTTTGGCTTTCTTTTTTTTTAAATTTCAATCTCTTAGACACCCCTTGAAAGGTGTGTGTCGTGGGGGGCAGGACACAGGCTTGAAGACTGAGACTGGGATATGTATGAACTATGGTTTTTCCCCAGGCATCTTCATGCCAAGTACCCCATGGGTGGTGAGACTCCAGCCTAGTCCAGAGAAGAGCCACAGCCTGGCATCTCCCTCTGGCCTGGAGGCTCAGAGCCAAAGCCTCTGGGGTGGGAATGTGGATGAACTTGGGTAGAGAGGTCTGGAGATCAGGGATAGGGCCAGCGAGCTCCTCACTGGCCCCTGTCCCATTGGTCTGGGCCTCAGCTTGCTGCCTCCTGCCCTCGGCCCTGACCGACACTCTCCAGGGACAAGTACTGGTGCGACCTCAGCTGCTGGGCCAGCACCCACCTGTCCTGCTTCCTGTTGCTTCTGCAGCTTGCGCTGAGCCTGCCCAGCTGGGGAGACTGGGCTTCCCTGACCCTCACCTTCCTCTGCCCTATCTCAGTCCCTACCCCTGCTCCGAAAACATGTGCCCCCCACCCAAGGCCAGAGACCCACATCCCCCAAAGAGAAGTGCCCTTAAGAATCTCCCCAGCTCCTGCAGCCCTGGAATAAATTTTGCAATTAGTTTCCAGCTACCTTTGTCTGTTTATGTTCTTGGGCCTACACAGAACCTCCTGGGGTGGGGGTGGGGCAATCCTCCAACTGGGATGGAAGTGACACTCAGAAACTTCCCAGTTCAGAGCTTCAGGGGACAAAGGCCTTTGGTGCTGCTGGCTAGGAGGGTTTGGCCCGCATCGCTGGGCCAGAGCCACATCCTGGCAGTTTGGAAGCCACTCCCTCTGGGCACCTCAGGCTCAGTTCCACCCTGACCAGGCCAGCTCAGCATCCACTCTGGGCTGATGAAGACAGTGATTTGTTGGGCATCTACTGCGTGGGCATCCTTTATCTCACTGTGGCTCCTGTGCCCGGTGTGGTAGAGAGAATGATCCTGAATGAGAAGGCACTTGCTAATGGCCACTCAGTATGTGATTTGGGAGGGCAGATTCACACCTGGGTCCCGACCTCCGAGCCCCGCTCCATCCTTGGCCACCCGCTGACTCCTCCTGCCGCACAGCCCGCCCCATCACAGTCGCTCTCAGATGTCCTGGCCCCCCTGCTACCCTTCCCACTACTACCCTTCCCACCGCACGGTGGCGGCAGCGAGCACAGCGACGTCTCAGGCACAGGAACCTGTTCACCCGAGATTATTGAGCGGGAAACTGAGGCACGCTGTGCACCCAAGTACGATCCTCTCCCCACAAGGCCCTCCATCACCCACCCCACCCCCATCGTGCAAACCTCCACCCTTCCTGGTCCACCCAGAACCTCAAGGCCAATCAGAACAAATGCCCCCTCTAGGCCAAGGTAGCCCTCAACTCGCTGCTGGAGTCAATGCTGACTCACTCGTGGCAACCCTGTAAGACAGGGTGGAATTGCCCCTGTACGTTTCCGAGACGAACTATTGACCTGAGTAGAAAGCTCATCTTTCTCCTGAAGATCGCTTGGTGTTTTCGAACTGCCGATCTTGAGGTCCACAGCCCAAGGTGTAACCACTGCGCCACCAAGGCTCCTATGTTGGAGCCCGAGGCACAAATCCAGCAAAGGCTTTGCAGGCAAAGAGAAATGGGAGAGGAGCCTGCCTCAATCCCTGGGAATCGGAAGGAAACATCCGTGTCAGTGTGCTAGCTGAACCGAACCAGGCTCCAGGGCGCTGGGGGTCGCCGAGGGATCACCCACAGGGGGCTTTGGCAGAGGAGCAGGAGTTGACCAGCTCGACCAGAATTGGGCACATTCCAAGCTGGGGCACAACTTGAGCAAAGGGGTGGAGGGCTTGTTCCAGTAGTGTGTGTGTGTGTGTGTGTGTGTGTGTGTGTGTGGTTGGGAGCAGGGGGAGAGGATCAGAGAGAAGAGACAATGAAAGGGCCCCCACTTTTGGGTCCCCCTCACCGGACTCCCCAGTTTCAGAGGAGACGAACACCCTCTGTGGTAAGGGGAAGGAGGACACGGACAACGAGGTGGGGAGGGGCCATATCCGTCAGCATTTACCCATCAGCATTTACCTGTTGCCCAAGGCCCCTCCCTCTGCCCTCGCTGGCATGGAGACCCTCAGCCTAACCTGCTAGGGGAGTGCTTCTCCTGAGAGGCAGCTTCCCCTGTTCACTCGCTGCACCTAGAGCTGCCTGGGCTACCCTGAGAGCAAGACCAAGGCTGCTCAGCAGCAAGACCCTTTATTACAAAGCCACTGCGCCCACACCAGAATTCAAGGCAGGTGGGGATGGGATGGAGGAGGGGCAATCAGACCGACAGAGGACTGAGCTGTGGGCCCTAGTGGGGTTGGTGGGAATGCCCGGGCTGGAGATGATGCTTCTGTTCAGAGAAGGGAGGTCCAGACCTGTGAAGGGCTGCCAGCTGCCAGGCCTTTCAGCCCAGGGTTCTCTGCAGAGCCGTTTGCGAAAATTCCGGATGCACTTTCTCTAGAATCCTGGGAAGAAAATATGTTCTTTGGGCTGGGTGGGCAGAGACTCCGGGTGGCGCTCCAGGGCGGGAGAGTGGCCAAGGACTGAGGCTAGGGAAAGACCTCCGGTTCAAATCCTGGACAGGCTTCTTGAGTCCATCTCTGATCCTTGGTTTCTGCGCCCTAACAACTCCCTCATGCCCTGGTCTAGTAGGCAGGGTGGGCTTTGAGGAGGGACAGTGGCACGTGTCATAAGGGACACACATCAGCCTCCTTCCATTCTCTGGCACCCCTTGCTCAGGCCACCTGAGTGGGTCGCAGGTGTGTGTGGGGTAAGGCAGGGTTGGAGTTGGAGTTGGAGTTGGGGGTCCAGAGGGTGGGGCCAGGGCCTTGGGCCAAAATAGAAACAGCTCCGTTGCTAAGAGGGGCCTTAGCAACGCACCCATTCACTGAAGACAAAGGCGCTGTCACTTGAGCACAGAGCGCTGCTGCTGTTGTCGCTTGTTCCTGCAGACGTGCTGCATGGGCAAGGGGTGGGAGTGGGGGTGGGGGGGGCTGGGGGCCTCAGGGAACAGTGTAGAGCCCCACTGAACACCTTTTGTGCCTGGGTGCTTGCAGCCTCCCAAGAGGCCCGCAGAGCTGCCACTAACCCATTTTGCAGAAGGGGAAGCCGAGGTCCCCCAGAGGACTGAGACACCAGCCAGTGAGTGGAGGCTGGCTGGGAGTGTGGGCGTGGCATCACACACACACACACACACACACACACACCTGGGAGGGTCTAATGTGCCCACGTGACTACTGCCCTGCTTCACCTGAGGGGCTGTGGGCTTGAGCCCAGCTCTGCCATTGGCCCTGGCAAGTGGCCACGCTCCCTGTTCTGACCTCCGCTTCCCCATCTCTACAGTGGGAAGGCAAAGGCAGCCCCATTTCCTAGGTCGCCAGGTTCAATGCCTCAAGTTGAGCACAGAACCCAGTAAGAACCTGACAAACAGGCCTCTGGTCCCTCACTGGATGGTGGGTTTAGGCCAGCTCCTACAGGGCGGTCCCTGTTTTCAGATCTGGGAAACTAATGCTCAGAGAGGCTGAAGACAACACTCAGGTTCTCCCCAACTTCCCTCCAGTCAAACTGAGCCCTTCACCTTGAGCTGCGCCCCCACCCCCCCACTGTGCATGCCCCCCCCCAGATGTCCAGCCTAGGGGGAAATACTTGGGCCTGGAAGGCTTCTCAGACCCTGAGGTAGCAGGGCAGGTGCCCTCAGGGGAGGATAAAGCAGGGAGGTTGGGCTCTAGAAAGGAGTCCACCCACTGACTGCTTAAATCAGGGGTCCTCAACTACGGCCTGTGAGCCACACGTGGCCCGGGGAGGACATTTATCCAGCCCCTGGGTGTTTTTGCCCCATTTTGTTTTTTACTTCAAAATAAGGTATATGCAGTGTGCATAGGAATTTGTTCATAGTTTTTTCTTAAACTATAGTCCGGCCCTCCAACGGGTCTGAGGACCAAAAATAAAGTTTGAGGACCCCTGGCTTAAACAGCCCTCTGGAGGGCAGCCCTGACCGGATAACAGAGGCCCTTTGGACACCAGCATGTGCAAAGAGCAGGGAGCCCCCCCCCCCTGCAAGTAGTGGGGTGGGGGGGGAGGGGCTCCTGCTTCAGTTTGGCAGCGGGTTGTCACCTCAAGGGGGAGGGGTGGGTGCTATACCTGAAGTCTTTAATGCAGTCAGTTCCACTGCCTAAGGAAGAAGGGGTCTGTTAGGGAGGGGGGTCCCCACTCTTTCTGCTTCCCTTTTCCCGGGGCCCTCAGCTACCATGGTGATGACTCCTCCCTTCCCACCATGGCCTTGGCATTCAGGTCCTGCCAGCTACAGAGATTATGCTTGGTCCTTGCTCTGCAGACAGCCAGCCACCAGGGATGGAGGCACAGAGGCCTCTAGAAGCCTCCCCCCACCCCCCACCCCTTGCTCAGCCACTGGGCTTCTCCACCTCTCCAGCCCCACTGGGCAGAGTCTTTCCTTGCCCCAGGCTGGGCTCTTGGACTCTGTAAAGGAGGAGAAGGCTGCCTGAAGTCAAGGGTGTGGGTCCCTAGTGGGGGGAAACACTGGAATTGGTGAACTTTAGGAGCCGGAGGCAGGAAGCTCTGCTGCTCTCCCACTCAGAGGCCAGATGTCCAGGATCCCCTCACAGGCTTACTCCGCAGCGTAGTCACAAGGACATGGCAGCCCAGAGAGGGAAGGTGACTTACCACAGGATGGACAGCCCGTCGAGAGACTGGAGCCCTGGAACTGTGCCCCACAGCAGAACCCCCCTAGTACACCCAGGGGAGGTGCCTGGGCCCCCGCTTTCCTTCCCGGCTGGGTATTAGGGGTACCAGTCCCTTAGGAATTGGGGCCCAGGGGGCACTGTGGGTTAGGGGTTGGACACCTGACCGCAAGGCGGCCAGTTCAAACCCACCAGACACTCAGCAGGACGATGATGAGTCAAGAATGTACAGTCTCGGAGCCCCCTAAACGGAGGCTGTGAGTTGGGACTACCCAATGGCGGTGGGTTTGGTTCCCCTGGAGGCTGGGGAGGAGAGGGCGGGCTATCCGCTGTAGCTCTCCCTGCTCTGGGGAAACCGAGGCCTGGGCAGCTCTCGGAGCGAGGGCGGTGACGCCCGGACCTCCGACGGCCACCTTCCTTCAGGGTGGGGTCGGCGGGGCTGGGACCCGACCCCCGAGCGGGGCCTCCTGCCTTCCCGACAGCGCGGAGTGACTGGGCCCGCTGTCTTCCCGTCGCAGGGCTCCCCTGGGCACGGCGCCACCAGGGCTCAGTCAAGGCAGACTCTGCCCTGCTCCCCCTACTCCTTCAGTGGGTGCATCTGTGGTTTCTCGGAGCCCTCCTGGTCTCTGCTGAGTCTCCCCTTTCCGAAGTACCCCGAAGACGCTTCTCCAAGTGGCTTCCCAGATTGCCCCCAGCCTCTCAGCCTCCATTCTGTCCCGTTGGGACTGGCTGGCATTGGTGCTTGGCTCCTGTAAGGTGAAAGGGGGATTCTGATGCCGGACCATATTCCTCCGTGTCGCCCAGGGTAGGCAAGGGGGCCCTGGGCAAGTGTGTGTGGAGAAACCAAATGGACTGAAGCTCCCCCACCTGTGCCCCTAGCAAGGTGGAATCCAACAATCCCATGAGTTGGGTAGCTGCCCACCCCCCTGTGTGGAGCCCCCAGGTGACACAAATGGCTAACATGCTAACCCTTCGGTTGGAGGTCCAGTCCACTCAGAGGCACCTGGGAATTAGAGTCGACGAATCTACTTTCCCAAACTCAGCGTTTGGGAGCCATGCTTGTCCTGCATCTTGCACACGGGCGGAGTCGGGATCGACTCCCAGCAACTGGTTTGGATAGATGTCAAACCTCAGGCCTGCTTCAGCTGGTCCTGGGGATAGGGAGATTAGGAATAGAGGGAGTTGTCTCCGCCAAATGCCTGCCCTAAATGAAAATTAGCTGTCCCTGCCACAATAAAGGGGTTGTAAAGAAATCAGGCACCCATTAAACACTTATGGGGATGCTGAGACCAAGGGCACCTAGACACAGGTGGAGGTCAACCTGGGCACACACTAGCCACCAGCAACATTACATCACACGTGATGTAATGAACTCAACCACGTGAGGGTAGGCCAGGCTTGCTTTGGGGGGCTCTCTTCCGGGTGCACAGGGTTCGGACTCTCTTCTTCCCTTTTCTGTTCCAGGGCTCTTCTTTCCATTCTGTGGACTCCTTGTAGGGGCCATTTTTCCATGTGGTTTTTTGCACTCCCCTGAGGTGGCCATTTTCAGTCATGCACTCTTGTGAGGTCCCCAGTGGGGCCTTGCACGCATTCCAGAGATGGCATGTCCTATCTAAGACTCATACCAGAAACGTCTATTTCTCTCATGAAAGTTACTTGGGTTTACAAAAGTGCTTCCTGCTGTATGAACTCTTTCAGCGTTGAAAAACAGGGACGGGAGGAAAACCACCCCAGAAACCTAACACAGGCATCACAGGCTTCTATCTGCAGGGTAAGTGTGAGCTACAGCTGGTGCGGGGTGAGGGTTTGCTCTAGGAAACCTGACACACACAGGGCTCAGCAGGAAACAAAACCACCCAACCCAAGCTCACTGCCACCAAGTCGATGCCGACACCCAGCGACCCTATAGGACAGGGTAGAACTGTCCTTGTGGGTTTCTATGGCTTCAACTCCTTATAGGAGTAGAAAGTCTCATCGTTGTCCTGAGGAGTGGCAGGTGGTTTTGAACTGCTGGCCTTGAAGTTAGCAGTCCAAGAAAGAAAGAAAGCATTCCCCACCCCCTTCCTGCTCTTCCCCTCAGGGAGGCAGGGAGCTGACTGGGAGTGAGCACTAGAGGGGTATGGAGAGGCAGAGACAGACAGACAGAGATGAAGGGGAGACAGAAAAAGGTCAAGGAGGAGAGCAGCTGGGCCCCGTGCTGGCAAACATCCCCTTGGAGGAGGGGTCAGCAGAGAGAGGCAGGGAGGCAGAGTGTCGCAGAGAAAATGCAGAGGCAGAGACAAAGAAGTGCGACTCCCGCAAGCCTGAGGGAGAGAAAGGAGGGCAGGAAGGCAGTGCTGGTGGCCTTGACCTTGGCCCTTGGCTGGTGCCCACTTGCTCCACGGGCACAGGGAGTTATTTGGGTATCAGAGTCCTACCCACAGTAGTGGGAGGGGGTGGCGGGGGAGGTGGGGCGGGGACTCAGAAACTTGGAAGGCAGGCAGAAGCAGCGGAGTGGGGGGTGGACTCAGGCCCAGGGAGCTCTGAGAGCAGGGGGCTTGGAGGAAGGGCTGGTCTCTGTCAGGGACAGGGCATAGTGTCCCCACCCCATCATTGCTCAGTCCCCAGACTGCTGCCGGGCGTTCCCCCAATACAGTGGCTCTCAACCTTCCTAATGCTGCAACCCTTTCATGCAGTTCCTCATGTTGTGGGGATCCCCCAACCATAAAATTATTTTCGTCGCTACTTCATCACTGTCATTTTGCTACTGTGATGAAAAAGGCGACCCCTGTGAAAGGGTCGTTGGACCCCAGGTTGAGAACCGCTCCCCTGATTGAAAGCTCACAGCCTGCTAGTGCAGGGCCTGCAAGAACGTGGAAGGTATTGAGGCCCACAGTGACCCAGGCCCCCGCTGGGCTGAGGGGTGCCAGGACGCCCGACCAGCCGGGTCAGGCCCAGGATGGGCACAGGACCAGCACTGGCTTCGCTGCGGCCCTGTGGAAGAGCAGCAGTGGGGTGGGAGGACAAGAGTGGGGAGAGGTAGGAGGAAGAGGAGGGTGGCAGCTTAGGTTGCTCTCTCTGGGTGGAAGGGAGGGGCTGGCAGAGGAAGGCCAGGGAGGAGGCAGAGGCCAGAGGTGTCAGAGCAGGATGGGGCCCTGGAGACCATGGGGCCCTTGGCAGGGGTAGAGCTTTAGTTACTCACCCTGAACTTGTAACTCCAGCGCTTGATTTGGGGGCCTCCCCACCTTGCCCTACTCCCCTGACCGTCAGTGAGCCCCTCACACAGAGGCCGGGGAGCACACTGTCACCCACCCTCACACCCACCTGGGATCGCCTCCTAAGCTTCATCCGTGCTACATAGGAACATATGCTACACACAGGCACACATGCCACATACGGACCACATGTCGGCATCATATACCCACAGCCAGGAGCGCAGGCACTCCCACGCTCATGGACACACAAGCACACACTCGTATGTGCTCACAGTTCACGTGCAATGATCTCTTCCCTCTGACACTGACTGGCCTTCTGCCAGGCTCCAACTTCCCAGACTCCCCCAATCCAGGCTTCACTATCGCTGTCTCCTGAGTTGCTGCTGGGCGCAGGGCCGTGGGCTCTGCATGCAGGCATGGTGACCATCACCACTCAGACCAGGATGCAGGTATTGGCCTGTAGACTTTTGTCAGTGGGACAAGGGAACGAACGCCCAGGTTCTGCCATGTCCGTCTCCTCCTGCCCCTCCCACCCCCACGGGGCAGTTCACCGACAACACGGAGAGCACAGCCCACAAAGGCTCAGAGAGTGGCTGCGAGCACATTGAGCCAGCAACACCCAGCGGCCCGTAGTCATGGGGGACATGGCCAGGGTGATGGCCACAGGCACACCTGGGGGAAGGCGGGGCCTCAGCACCATGCCAGCCCCTCACCCCACTCCAGAGCTTCAGAGTCATGGCAGCAGCCCCAGTGGGGAGGGGGGTGGTACCATTGGGGCAGGCAGGAGTAGTCAGGGAGGGGCAGTACTGTGACAGGGTTGAGGGCTTAGGGTTGAGAATCAGGAGATGGGGGGTAGCTGTTTGAGGACTGGATGCATGGCACTAGAGGCAGGGAGGCGAAGTAGTTGAAATGGGGGAGGATTTGGAAAAATTAGGGTTGGGTGAAGCTGGAAGCTGACCAAGCTCAGAAAATTGAGCTGGGTCAAAGATGGGCATGAGGCAGGGATGGATGCCAGGGAGAGATGGACACTGGGTAGTAATGGTGCTGGGCACTGAGTGGTCCTGGGCTGGGTAGAAATGGGTGGTGGTGGGTGCTGGCCAGTGAGGGGCACAGTGTAAACCAGAGTCGGGGAGAAGAGCAAGAGCCGGGGTCAGGGGAGCCTCACCCCAGTCCAGGGCATAGTAGAGCCGCATACTCAGCCCAGGGAGCATGCTCAAAGCCACCACCGTGCTCCACAGTAGCAGCCCTCCACCAGCATGCAGAAGGCGACCAAGAAGAGGAGATGCATTGTTACTGACAGCCACGCATGCCACCTGCGAGGGCAGGGGTTCCCCCCAGGGTCAGCCATGGCTGCAGCCTACCCTGGGACCCAGGCCCACACCTGCCATTGCCAACCCAATGAGGTCCTGCTCATTTACTCAGGAGCATTCTTCTCTGGGCCTCTCTCCTCCCCAGGGCCAGGGTCCAGGTCAAGATTGGAGTCACTCAGAGAAGTGGGAGGGCCCACAGGCACCCATGGACAGAATGGCCATGCTGCCCAGGTCTCTCTGAGTTAACAATTCCACTTGCTGGCAGCCCACTGTGTTGGCCCTTGCCCACTCGCTGGCCACGAGGACGCCCTCTGCAGAGGCGAGGGAAAAGGTGAGGTGCTTGTGGACTATGACTTGCTCTGACTTGGGGACCCTGGTCAGGCAGAAGACTCAGTTAACCAAGACACCACCAGCAGCCCCAGGGCTTTCCAAACCCCCTGCCCCTCCCGTAGGTCCCCTGTGGCTAGGCACAAGGGCAGTTCCACAGGGGGCCAGCACACCCTCAGGGGAGCCCCAGGGTTCCTGGGATCTGGTGTGGGGTCTAGAGAGACAGGCAGAGCCCACAGGGTCCTGCAGCTCTGGTGAGTTCTCTTTACCCGGCTGCCAGGAAGAGCAGGTCGTGGGGGCATAGGACACACCACAGCCCACAAAAGACAGGGTCCTCAGCAGTGAATCCTCCTCAGGGTTCCGCTGCAGGGAGCAACAGGGGCCCTGGAGTCCACCCCATAACCACCCTGACTGGACCCTGAGCAGACCCTACCTCCAGCCCATTACTAGTCCACAGGGTGGATGGAGGCCTGCACCCAGCTGGACTGAATAAATGGACCTTCCAATGTGTGCGTGCGTGCGTATAGATTGGAAGCAACTGCAGGACCACCTGGCGGTGCCACGGGCAACCACCACACAGGTGGAGGCTGTTGGAAGCGGAGCTCCCTGTGGCTCATTTTTAACTTAGAAAGATGCCTGTGTTGTTTGTATCAGAAACATGCATTTGATGCTTTCTCTCAGGTGCTCCCCAACATGCTGAGTCACCCCAGTGTTCCTGGGGTTCAGGCCCTGAGGGCTCTTCAGCCTGCCTAACTTGACCTCTGAGTGAGAGTCCATCCCGCACGTGCGGTGGTCCGTGCCTTGTCCCCTGACCTGCCTCCTCCTCTGGGCTCCACCCCGTCCCCGCCCCCTGCCTGTTCCGGGCCCAGACTCCTTTCCGCCGACAGTTTCACTCACTGGCACCAGAGGGCGCGCTAAGGCACCGCCACTCTTCCGAGCCTGCCTCTGAAAGTAGACTCATTCCTTGTGCGGTGCCCCACCTGCCCACCGACACGTCGTCCTGGACTCCGTGCGGTCCTTTCAGCCCTTTAAAGCTTACCTGTCACCCGGAGACGCCTGTTTGCTTAACTCCTGCTCATCTGAGAAGGCAATCCCTCCCTCCCCGACCCCCGGGGGCCTCACCTGGATGTCAGACACCAGTAACACGATGGCGAAGTGGGTGCTGTGTTGCAGAAGCAGGCGGCCAGAGCAGCCAGTGGTGGCCCAGGTGCCCCGTGTCTTGGCTTAGAACAGAGGGGCTCTTGAGTGGGGTGGGATGGGGGTAGGGCTAAAGCCTTTCTTATCTTCCAGCATTGTGACCTTGGTCAAGTCCCTGCTCCTGGAGCCTTGGTTTCCCATCTGTAAAATCCCTCTCTCGGGCACAGTGCAGAGACAGTGACCGGTGATCATTGACTAATTACAGTAATAAGCAAACTAAAGTCATCTGTGCCCATTCTCCAGCTCAAGGTCTGACAGGAAGCACGGGAAATTTCTATACCCTCCTCAGCCCCTTCCAGTACTCTTGGACTGGCCTTAGATATAATCAAGGTGGACACTCGTTTGAGGGATGAGCCTCTTCCTAGGCACCAAATGGGGAGCTTACGACCTCTTGGGGAACAAATTCTCCTGACCTAGCTTGTCCGGGAGCTGCATGGGGCCTGCAAGGGCGTTGGTGAGTGAAGACCCCAAACACTCTTGAGCCCTACCTCATCCCTGAGCCAGGTGGATGGTTTCAGGAACAAAAATGATTGTTTTATTTAAAGAAATTCACCTGCTGCTGAAGTTCCAGAAAGGACAGACGGGTTCCACCAGCTTCTGAGGGGAGGCCGAGGGGCAGGGAACACGGGCAGGGCAGGTGTGAGCTGGTGCATGTGCATGGAGACAGAGGGCAGGGGTGAGTGTGCATGGGCACAGGGCAGGGAAAAGGCAGAGATCAGAAAGATGGTGGGACATTTATAGAGATATGTTAAGTATTAAGGATAAAACGGACACTGGGCCTCTACTCAAGTACTCCCTCAACACAAGAACACTTTGTTCTATTAACATGGCATTCTGTGATGCTCACCTTCCCAACAAGGTCGCTGAAGACAAATGGGTGCATAAGCAAATGTGGTGAAGAAAGCTGATGGTGCCCGGCTATCAAAAGATATGGTGTCTGGGGTCTTAAAGGCTTGAAGATAAACAAGGGGCCATCTAACTGAGAAGCAACAAAGCCCACATGGAAGAAGCACACCAGCTTGTGTGATCATGAGGTGTCGATGGGATCAGTTGTCAGGTATCAAAAAATCTTATCAAAGTGAATGAGGGGGAGGATGGAGTGGAGGCCCAAAGCCCATCTGTAGACAATTGGACATCCCCTTACAGAAGGGTCACAAGGAAGGGATGAGCCAGTCAGGATGCAGTATAGTACCAATGAAACACACAACTCTCCTCTACATCTTTAATGCTTCTTCACCCCCAATTCTAACGTACAAATCCGAGTAAACCAGAGCATATGTACTGTATACCGGTATAGCTAAGAACTGGCAACACAGGGAGTCCAGGACAGATAAACCCCTCAGGACCAATAATGAGAGTAGCCATACCAAGAGGGTAAGGGGAAGAAAGGAGGAACCGATCACAATGATCTATATATAACTCCTGGGAGGGATGGACAACAGAAAAGTGGGTGAAGAGAGACAGCAGTTGGTATAAGACATGGAAAAAACATCTAAATTATCAAGGGCTCACTAGGGAGGGAGGCTCGGGGAGAGCGAAAATGAGCTGATACCAAGGGCCCAAGTAGAAAGAAAATGTTTTGAAGATGATGATGGAAACATACGTACAAATGTGCTTGACACAATGGATGTATGTATGGATTGTGACGAGCTGTAAGAGCCCCTGATAAGATGATTAAAAACAAAACAAAAGACACCCCCCCCAAAAAAAAAAAGGATGATAGGGATGGTTGAGGGCTCTGTACAGCATGGGTCATGAGTGAAGGCGTGGAGAAACAGCGAGGGGGAGGTGGAGAGGAAGGTGAGCTGGAGAGACTTGCAAGCCAGCATCCTGCGTGATATTTGAAACCGAGGACAAGGAAATGTCCCAGCAGTTGGCTGGGGTGGGGCCAGGGGGGGGCGTTGGGGGGGTTGGGGTTTGTGTGTGCTCTGCTGGTTGAAAACTGCTCAGATCCTGATACGTTGCTCAGAAAAGAAAACAGGCACGGTGTGTTATGTGAGGCATGAGCCCACTTATGTCAAACACTAAAGTTGGCAACTATAAACACAAAGCCTGGAAACAAACACGCAGCCAAGTTCATGATGGTTAAGTCTGTGGTTTTGAACGGGCTATCAAGAATATGCTATTCCTTTTGTAATTAAAAATGACAAGAGTTCTTTTTAAAAAAATTTTTTTTCAAGATGCCACTAAGCAGTGAGGACATGTCAGCAGCACCATACCTATTGGCAAGGAAAGCAGCTTAAAATTGGGACCTGGGCCAGTTGTTCCAACTGATGATATTGTCACGATGCTAAAACATGCTACTCGTGTTTGGCAAAGTGTTTTACTGACCCTTATTGTGGGTGCAGAAGCCGAGGAGGCAGGCAGAAATCCCTGTGCTTTCAAGTGAGGAAAGTGAGCCTCAGAGAGGTGAAGGAATTTGCCTAGGATCACATAGCCAGGCAGTGACAGAGCAGAGAGCGGGGTTCTGGCTTGGCCCCCTCCATCCTCTTCTGGGTATTCCATGGTGATTCTTCCAGAGAACATACTATTTCTAGGGTTGGTTGAGTGATCACTTCATTCGTTCATAATTCCTGGACCCCAGGTATTATACAGGGTGCTGGGAACACAAATACAACCCGCTCTTGATATTTTAAATGGATGATTATTCCACTAATGGCTCCAGTTCTGCAGCCCCAAGGCCTGTCACCTTCTTCAGGAAGTGCACGACAGCCAGTAGGGCAGACGGCCCCAGTGGAGGGGCCTCCTTTGCCAGGACCCTCTCCTGGATGCCCAGGAAGCGAGAGGCCTCGGCCAGAGTCAGGGGCCAATGGTCTTCAGAGAAGGGGTTAGGGGACAGCTGTAGGCAGAAGAACCACTGGCCTTGCTGGTCTGCCTATCACAAGGGCCACCCTTCCCCCCAGCACCCTGGAACCATCACTTTGGCTCAGGGTCTTCTTGATAGATGGGGGTCTATCTTGTTGTCAGCCCCTAGCTCTTCAAAAACTCTCTTACTGCCATTGAGTGGATGCCAACTCATCGGAACCTTACAGGGCAGCGTAGAACTAAGTCTGATAGTTTCTGAGACTCTAACTCTTAAAGTGCGTAGAAAGCCTGTCTCCCATCCCCAGCTGTTAAGAGCTCCTAATTAGGGTGCATGAGTAGCAGACACATCATCTGCTATCTTATGGATAAGAAAACCGAGGCACAGGGAGGTGACATATAGACTCCCCAGACCCCTTGGGAGGGTGACTCACCATAGTGACATTGGCCAAGGCATTGACTCAGCTGATAACATCCAGGCCTGGCCATGACTGGGTATCCAGCAACCGCTGGCAAGTCTCTGTGAAGTACCAGGTGCCAGCTCACATAGTGACCACCCGCAAAGATTAAATACCCCACCAAGGACTTTACACGTGGGGTCTGGATGGGGAAAGGGAGGCACAGGATGGCCCAAAGCATCTCCTTCTGGCCACACAGCTGTCTTTGAGAAGTTCCCAGGTTTTGCCAACCTCCCCCTCCAGAAGCAGCAGAGGAAGGGCTGTGACTGTAGACAGGGTTCAGAGGCCTCAGTATGGGGTCCTGGGTCCCAAGTGGGGCACTCTCGAGAGCACTGGCCAGTGGGAAGTATTTGTCAGGGTTGAGTCCTGGTTCCTAGTTGCCACGGTGAGCCACCCACCCACTTAGGCCTTGAAGGCGCCCTTACACTTGGAGAAGTGCCAGGGCGCATGGCATCCAGTTTAGGCATCGAGGTGGGACCTGGGGGATGGGCCTGCACCAGTCTAGGACTGGACGGACGTCTCAAGTCGCCAATACAGAGCTCCTGAAGGCGTGAGACACTGCAGCAAGTAGGTGGAATGGGCAGAAATTGGGCGTGGCCAGGATGCTGACGGGTGGATTAGGCCCTGGAGCTGGGAGGGAAGGGTTCTGGGACTAGCAGGGAGGGGCTGAGATGGTAGCCGGACTGGTGGTCAGAGTACAGGATGGGGACTCAGCGGGCGGGCTGGGCCGTACCCGGGCAGAGGAGGCACACTGGCACGGTGGGCAGTAGCGACGGGGAAACGTCTAGGATGTGCAGGTCCCAAGGGATGAGCAGGCTGCGGGTGGGGGGGAGGTGCGCAGGCCCCGGCCCGGCGCAGAGGTGGAAGTCGCTGAGGTTGCCGCGAATGGCATCTCGCCCAGAGAAGCCGCCGCCCAGCGAGTCCTGGCCCTGGC